ACACACACACACACACACACACACGCACACACGCACACACGCACACATCACCGCAGGTCCCTGTTCTCCCGGGCCATCGCCGAGTCGGGTCGCAGCACAGTGCTGGCGGAGCGCCTGACACTGCTCGCGGAGCACTTCACTTTCTTCCTCTACCAGAACGTCTGCAGGTGGGGTTGTGCAGTTGGCACGTGGCCGGCCAGGCACCACCGCATGCGCCTCCCAGTGTTGCGCAACTCCACATGCAAACTGTGGCCGGAGTTCCCACACTGCAAGTGCCGCAAAGTTGGCCGCCAAGGAGGGTTTGCAGCGGACCTGTGTCGACTCAGCGCCTCACAAATAGAGCTGTGCATGGCACCCTGTTGTTGTTGCCCACAAATAATGTGCACCCCCGCCATCAACTTCGTGTACAGGTCGCTGTTTGAGAAAGACAAGGTGCTGTTTGCCCTGCTGCTGTCCACCAAAGTCAAGATCGACGCGGGCGCCCTTGACTCAGGTGCGTCTCGCTCGTTCGCATTGCCGTGCGGACCATACACCATCCAACACCACCGCTGCTTATTGGGTGCTGACTGCCGCGCATCTCCCAAGTATCGCCGTGTTGATACTCTCACAAGCCGCTTCTATATTTTAATTCACATTCAGAGGCTCATTCGGCTGCCCGGATCCACACTCCTCACACCCACCCCCACCCCCCCCCCCCAGCCCACTTGCGTTTCCTCCTGACCGGCGGCCTGGCGGTCGGCGGCCCGCAGCACCCCAACCCCGCGCCCGGGTGGATCAGCTCCAAAATGTGGGGCGAGGCCTGCAGGGCCGAGGGCCTGGGGCCGCTGTGGCAGGGCCTCGCGGCGCATATGACGGGTGAGAAAGGGGAGTTGTGCAAGGCCGCGGCCGCCTCGCGCCTCGCTTTCTGACGCCCATGTCTCCTGTGGCTTGGCACTCGGGCTTGTTGGAGCGACCCGTCGCGTCACCCAAGCTTTCAAAGTTGGTCGTTGCTTGGTTGCTGCGTTCAGCCCATTTGCGACAGTGCGCCGCAAACCGCATTGACAGGTGCAGTAGTCAGCCGAAGGAACTCTTTAAAGCCTGACGCCAACCTTTGAGTGCTTGCTGGTTCTTGCGTGCCCACTGCTGGCCCACACAGAGAACGTGTCTACGTGGAAGGCCGTATATGACTCGCCGGCGCCCCAGGACGCGGCGCTGCCTGAGCCGTGGGACTCGGGCCTGGACGCCTTCCAGCGCCTGCTGCTGCTCAGGCGAGCGCGCGCACGTCTGCTGCCGCCGCCGAGCGCGGTTCCACCTGCTGATCATCTGCTTGCCACGCCTGTCGTCCTGTCGGTGCGGCTGTGTGAGCTCTCCAAGTTTCAGTCCTGATGCATTCACTGCAAACCACAGCGCTCGAAACCCCAGCCGCAACCAATCCTGTCTGTTCTTGAAATTCAACCCCAAAATTCAACTCTGCTACTGTACTGCTGATGTGCACTCGACCCAGGATCCTGCGGCCAGACAAGATGGTGGCCGGCCTAACTGCCTACGTGGCCGACACCATGGGCCCACACTTTGTAGAGCCGCAGCCGTTTGAGCTGGCCCCCTGCTACGCCGACTCCACGCCCTCCGCGCCCCTCATATTCCTGCTGTCCCCTGGCGCCGACCCCATGGGGGTGCTCCTGCGGTTTGCGGAGGAGCGCGGGGTTCGCGTGGAGAGCGTGAGCCTGGGGCAGGGGCAGGGGCCGGTGGCGCAGAAGTGGATCGAGGAGGGCGCGGCGCAGGGCTTCTGGGTGGTGCTGCAGGTGGGTTGGGCACATGGGGCTTGCTGTTGGCCGAACGTGTGGGGGCACCAGAGGGGTCCCATCGCTGCCAGTCTTTAGTCGTCTTTAGTACGGGCGCTGACCAGGCCTGATTGACGTCTTTGCTCACTCACATCCGATCAAACCCTGGCTGCCTGCTTCTGCGCGCAGCTTGAGATCGCTTGCGAGCGTGAAAATCTGGCTGCGAAGGGATTCCCGCCCTGGCCTAAGCGGCTTGCATCACGCCTCCTCGCCTGCCCTCCCGCCCCCAGAACTGCCACCTGGCGCGCAGCTTCCTCCCGACCCTTGAGATGATCTGCGAGACACAGCTGGCCGCAGAGGGGCGGGTGCATCCCAACTTCAGGCGCGCCGGGCCCCGACCGAGGGCACGGGTCCCGCCCGCTGTTGGCTGTCATGCGGCCGCACTGTTCAGGGCTGTGGGCAGCCGGGGGCAGCCCGCCCCCAGCTGATTGCCGCAACACCAGGTGATGCGGGGAGTGCGTGCCCCTGATGCTCCTCTGGTTGTATAGAAATCGATGAAGCTGCATCCACGTCAACAAGATGAAGGATCACGCAGCCCGCAAAACCCTGAAATCGAAACACTCACAGGCTGTGGCTGACCAGCGACCCGACGCCGGCGTTCCCGGTCACGCTGCTGGAGGCCGGGGTCAAGATCACAAACGAGCGGCCCAAGGGCCTCCGCGCTGGTGAGTGCCGCCCCTTCCCCCTTGGCAGAGTTTGTAGCCCCAGGCCGCCAATAAGCACGTGCTCTGCACCGCTGGTCAACCTAGAACCTTCAGCCCCGTCGTAGTAGCCAGCAGAAGCGTTCAACATCTGTGCTGCCGCCCAGCATCACCGTTCACAACATCAATTGGTCTCGTCTGCAACCGCGCCAAACCCCAAATCTGGAAAACCCCACAACAAAACGACGACGCCTGCCGTGCCCCCCCCCTCCCAGGGTTGCTGCGGACGTACACCAGCGACCCAGTGGCGTCCCCAGAGCTGTTTGAGGGCTGCGTGAAGCCGGGGCCCTTCAAGGCGCTGCTCTTCGGCCTCGCATTCTTCCACAGGTGCGCGGCCCGCCTCGGGGCGGCCCGGCTGGGAGCGTCCGCCCCGCGCCGTCGCCGCGGCAGCCGCAGCCGCAGCCGCCGCCACCGGGTTGTCTGAGGTCACCGGTTGATGGCTGGCGTGGTGCTCGACCCTGGGTCACGAGCAGGCACAGCTAGTCTGGCAGGGGGGCCCGTTTCCTGCTCTGAGTCTGGCCGGCGTGGGGCGATTCAAGCCGCGCAATAGCTTGCCAGCTTTTGCAGTTCCCCGGAAGGACCATGGTGTTTGATATGCAAGGCTTGGCTCATGGATGACAGCACGTGCGGGCCTCACACGGGGCCGCCACCTCCCCCCCTCTGCGCCCGTGGCCCACGCCGCAGCGTGTGCCTGGAGCGCCGCCAGTTTGGCCCGATTGGCTGGAACATTCCCTACGAATTCAACAACAACGACCTGCGTATCAGGTAACGCCGCCACATCAGACACTATGATGATGAATCCGTGCCCTCCATTTCGAGTGTCCGCGGGTCCATTCGCAGGAGCCATCGGCGCCGGGGCCGGGCTTGCGGCCGCACGCTTTGGTTTGCGGTCGGCCGCCGCCGACGCCGTGTCTCGTGCGCCACACGCGCCGGAAAGCAAGCAGTATATGGGCTACGGCAAGCTTGGGAAGCTCCGAGGCCCAACGCGAGGACGCACACACGGCCCCACCACCACCACCGGCGCACGCGTGCCCCGCAGCGTGCGCCAGCTGCGCATGTTTGTGGATGAATACCCCGACATCCCCTTCGACACGCTGGCCTACACCGCGGGGGAGTGCAACTACGGAGGGAAGGTGGGCAGGGAACCTTGTTTTTTTTCGGGGGGGGGGGGGAAGGAGGCTCTCTTTGAAGGACTTGGGGGGCCTCTTGGTGGGGCCATCGTGTCAGAGTTAGGGCACGTTTTTGGGGCGGACAAATCTGTCAGTCTTGCTGTACCCAGGCAGCGGTGGCGGGACAGCACCAGCAGCAGCAGCACCAGCAGCAGCATGTTGAGCAGCCGGGAGGCAACTGCGGCGGTGGGTGGGAGGCGGCGGCCCTGCCCACCCGACCGCAGCCCTGGCCTTCCGGACTTGTGCCGTCCTGCTGTGTAGAACGCGCATCTGATTCGGGAAATGGGGCCATCCCCACCTTTTTGGTGGTGGGGGTTTGTTCACATATTTATGTGTGTGTTTCCTACCTGCCAAAAGCTCATTTGACTCCAGTTATACAGGTATCAGAAGAGCGCACTAATCTTGTGGACCGGGCTGCTTGTGGCCATCCCGCCCGCACGTCTTCCACAGGTCACGGACGCCCACGACCGCCAGACGCTGTCGACGCTGCTGGGCGCCTTCTACGCGCCCCCCATCCTCGCGCCCAACGCGCCGCTCTGCCCGGGCAGCACCTACGCCGTGCCGCACGCCGGCGAGCACAAGGTACGGCCGGCGCGATGCTCCACACCGCAGTCCCACAACAGCCGCCACGACTTATCACGCTTATAAGCCGCCACCGCCGACCTCCCACACCAATCACCAACACACGTCCCATCTCTCTCCATCTTGTCGTGTTGCGGCCTCGACAGTCCTATGTTGACTACATTCAGGGCCTGCCCCTGCTGGCGCCGCCCGAGGCGTTTGGCCTGGGCGCCAACGCCGACATTGCGCGCGACCTGCGGGAGGGGGGCGCGCTGCTGGAGGCGCTGCTGACGACGCAGGCGAGCAGGCGGCGGCGGCGTTGGCGATGCGGATTTCGGAGGGGTTTTGAAGGGTTTTTGGGGACGGGGCCGATCTTGCTGCGAGCTGTTCAGGATTCTTGGTCTATCGAAGGCCAGAGGCAGAGCCCGCGCTCGGCTGTTGATGGCTCGCGGCGGGGCGGTGCAGCCACGGCTCATTGTCGTGCCACCAGGTGCCGCGGCTCGGAAGTGCCTGTGCTTGTGGCTCTGTTGGTCAACGCGGCGCTTTGCCGCCCGCGTTGGAGGGATGCCGTCCTTCGACGCTTGCCCCATCCTTCACTGGTACTATTCCGCCAACCACTTCGCCACGCCCTGCCGGCCCCCCCTCCCTCTGACCGTGCCGACAGGGCCGGCAGGAGGCCGCGCCCGCCGCGCCTGCCGGCGGCGCCCGCCCCGGCGCGCCCGCCGGCGCAGCGCCGCGTAGCGCCGAGGCGGTCATGGGCGACGTGGCGCGCGGCATCCTGGCGCGGCTGCCTGAGCTTTTCGACATTGAGGCGGCAGAGGCAAAGTACCCCCAGGTTGGTCTGCAAATGCGCCCTGGATAGGTTACTTGAATAGTCACTGCCCGCGCGATGTTGTCCTGGCAGCGGTACAACTGCTGTATCTGGTGTATGCAAGTCGAAATTGAGGGATGCGGGCGGCCGGGGAGATGTGTGATGACGATTGAAGATGCACACGCGCAGGGCGCTCGTGGTCCCCCACGGCGCACCTTGTTGCCCCGACAGCCCTGTCTTTGGCTGGTCGTTGCCCTCTGCCCTGCCTGTCTGCGTGCCTGTGCTTCCAATCTAATGGGAGGGTGCCAAACCTTCCACATCTGCCCGTGCTAGATCTCCTCATCACCCGCCTGCGCCCTTAATACCTTGCCAAACACCCCCCCCCAGGATTACTACAACAGCATGAACACTGTCCTGGTCCAGGTGAGACCGCCCGATTGGAGGCGCATGCCGTCCCAGAGGAGCCCCGCCACGCTCCTCACGGCTTGTTTCCCCCGTCGCGGCTGCGGCGGCGGTGTTGTCGGCCACACGTTTGTTGCCAACCCCACCGTCGCCGGACCACGAAACCTGAACACCCGTCAATCAAGGCGCCCTTGGTCATAACAGCGTCCTTACTCCATCAATTATGCTTTCGCTCAACATGCGTGCCAAAGCAGTCAACGGACCAACCGCTTTGATCACCCAACCGACCGACAACCCGACCCCCCGCAGGAGCTGGTGCGCTTCAACGCGCTGGCCGCGGCGATGCGTTCCAGCCTGGCGGCGCTTTCTCAGGCGGTGGAGGGCCTGGCCGTGATGAGCGCTGAGCTGGACGAGCTGGGGCGCAGCCTGTTCGACGGCAAGGTGACGGGGTGCTGGGGTGCTGGGGTGCTGGGGTGCTGGGGGTGGGGTGGACGGGATGTCAACCCAGACATTTTGTATGTGCTGGGGTGGACGGGATGCCAACCCACACATTTTGTATGTGTGGGTTGGCTTTCATGTGTGTCCGTGTGTGTGTATGTGTATGTGTGTGTGTGTCTGTGCACGCCCGTGTGTGTGTGCGTGTGTGCGTGCGTGTGTGTGTGTGTGTGTGTGTGTGGGCGTGAGGGAGAGGGGGAGGGGGAGAGATGGAGGGAAAGAGAGAGGAGGGGGGAGAGGATGTGGATGGGGGTGTGGTTTTTCGGCCCCATCTGGGACGCCCTCAACACAATGGGCAACCCTGTCCATCACACACGGCACACCCTCCCCTCGTCCTCGACCTCCTCCCCCTTTGCGCGCGTGTGCGCACTCGCGTGCGCGCACACACACACACACACACACGCACACACACACACACACACTCGCTCTGTCTCACAGATACATTCAGACTCACACACAACCTCACACGCCCACGCAGGTCCCCGCGCTGTGGCTGCGCCGCAGCTTCCCCAGCATGAAGCCCCTGGGGTCCTACGTGGCAGACGTGCTGCAGCGCGCCGCATTCTTCCGCCGCTGGCTGGAGAGGGGGCCGCCGTCGGCGTTCTGGCTGCCGGGGTTCTTCTTCACACAGGTGAGGGGCGGTGCGGGATTGGGGGCGTGCGTGTGTCGCTTGTGTGGGCGCGCGCATGTGTGTGTGTGTGTGAGAAAGAGAGAGAGTGTGTGCGTGTATATCCGCATGCATGCATGCGTGCATGCGGATACACACATGCATGCATGCATGCGTGCCCGCATGCGCTTGAAGATTTGTGTGCGTTCATGGGTGTGTGTGTGTGTGTGTGTGTGTTGAACACAGAGGATCCAAGGTTTTGGTGTAGGGACCCTGGGCAACATCTCTGGGGTGATTTTGTAGCTTTTGCAGCAAGAGAGAATTGGTTTATTCTAGTGGAGCAGGGAGTGGTGGTTGCTGCCTGAGCCAGTGGGGGCGTTGCTGCCCAATCATGCTCGGAGTGAATCAGCTGTCCTGTCGGCGTGCATGACAAACTTGGACAGCAACCCCCTCCCCCCACCAAGGTGACCCAGCCAAACCCGCCATCACCTGCTCCTTGCCTGCCCAGCAACCTACACCCCCATTCTTCAACCCCACCCCCTTGCATCCCCCTGTGCGCAAAACCCCCCGCCGCCCCGGGCCCCTGCGTCCCCAGGCCTTCCTCCCCGGCGCCAAGCAGAACTACGCGCGCCGCCACCGCATGCCCATCGACGCCGTCGACTTTGACTACGCCGTCCTCGACGACCTCCCCCGGGACGGCGGCCAGCCACCGCTGCTGACGTCAGACGCTGACGTCACCGGCGACGTCACCAGTGACGCCGTCGGCGGCGGCCGCCATCGCGGCGGG